GAAAATTATTACAAAGCAGCACAACTGCAATTTGTGGTTCACTGGTGTGAAGAGGGGTATGAAGCAAAATGGAAAGAACTAGAATTAAGCCAAATCGACATCCCCCTGCAAGCCCTACTGGGGGATAAACATCTCAAGAACAAACATGCAGATGAGTTGTGTGTCTCCACAAAAGTCCCTCTCAGCATCTGGTTTAGAGAGTTCCGCAACCCACTCTTAGAGAGGAAAACTCAGTTATTAAGATGGATTGAACATGATAGGGATTTTGTACCAGCACAACTTGATTCAAAATTCAAACAACTAACCAGGAAAGGTATTAATTCATACTGTGTGATTTCTTCTGGTACCAATCTGGATAGTTTCCAACAATTATGAGAAAAATTTGACCTTGACAAACAAGATTTTTTCAGATACCTGCAGCTCAGGCACTACTTTAATAAGAACATTAAAACATTGGAAAAAGATGATCAAGACCTTATTAATATTTTTATTGATCCTTATAAAGGTAAATCCTAAAAGAAGAGGATGTCCAGTAGGGTTGGGCAATATTGGCAAAAAAAAAATTAATCCCGATTAGTTGTTGTATTTAGCCGATAACGATTAATTTGACGATTAATCCCCTGGAGTCTCTGGACACCCTTATGTCCTGGTCACATGACTGATTTAGTGGGAAAGATTTGCTGTTTGTAAAAATCTGTTCCAAATTGTGTCAAAATTACAGACTTCAGGCTGTACATCAAACTTTAAATTGTGTTGATAGATAAATGAATTACACAACTTTTTTTAGTGTTGGTAATATTTGAAGCAGAGAGGAGCACCGAGCAGTCAGTCTGACTGCTGGCATTAATCATATTAATCACCAAGTGCCAAAAATGAATCGATTAATGTTTTTATGATGATTAATTGTACACGATACAATTATGCCCAACCCTACTGCCCAGAATATATGGGTGCTTAGAAGCCAATAAAAAACATCAACAATATATATTAAAAATTCATGGGAAAGGGAGGTAAAAATAACGCTGACGGAGGATGAGTGGCTAAATATATGCCAAATTAACTCAACTACCACAAGCTCAGGACATTGGAGGGAATTTTCATGGAAGAATATTGTTAGATTTTTTATAACCCCCAAAAGAACATTCTCTCAGACCGGCAGGACCGAATCAGCGCACTGTTGGAGACAATGTAATAATGTGATGGCTGACCACTTCCACATTTTCTGAGGCTGCCCACTGATTTATTCCTATTGGTCAGAGGTTACCAAAGAGATAAGAAAAAATCTTGTATTTGAAATAATGTATAACTTTAAAACTATATACCTGGGTAATTTACCAAGTGAACTCAACACTCAGAATAAGAACCTTTTGAAAATACTACTAATCGCAAGTAAGAAATCATTAACAAGAAAGTGGCTTAGTGGGAGCCCACCGACATTGTGGGACTGGTTAATCACAGTAGAAGAAATATGTGAAATGGAAATGCTTACTTTTTCCCTAAGACTCCAGGAAAACAAAATCAAAAAATACTTGTTAAAATGGTTTACATATAGGAACTCGATAGTAAGCTGAGTATCACAAATCATTATTAAAGAGTAACTTACCCCAAAATTAACTTTTTTTAGCTGATAAACTGTCTAGAATGTGTCTAAAATGTTATATAGTACTGTTTCTGTGCT